CTAATTATTTAGTTCATAAAAAAAAGCTTTTCTTTAGTGTCAAATAAATAGATTTTGCATAAATTTCATTGCGTATAATTTGCTCTTGATGATGATATTCCTGATTAAATTCTAAAAAAAAATTTTTTTTTTTAATCTGATGTCAAGACTTCAGAGTTTTCAGTATTTACGTTAACACATTTTAAAAAACACAAATTAAAAAAAAGGTTACGTTTTCGATTTGGAGTTGAAACCGGTATTAAAACCAAAAATTTAAGCGATTTTTTTCTTTTTCAGTCAGTTCTGATTGATAAAAAGAAATATCAAAAAATTAAACGTTTTTTTGCACATTTTACTTTATTTGCTATTAATATCATTTAAAAATAGTCCATGATTATAAGCATATTTCACAAGAAACACAATTCACATTTTTTTACTAATTATTCAGTTCATGAAAAACAAGTTTTTCTTTAGTGTCAAATTTTTTTTGCACATATTTCATTACGTATAATCTGCGTTCTTTGTATTTTCCGCTAAAGACCCTTAAACCCGAAAAATTTCAGAACATAATGATTTAATTTAATTAAAAAAATAAAAATTGAAAAACACTTTGAAGTCGTTTTTTCCCATTATTGTAATAATCAAAAATTCAAAATGTGATTTCTGGTAGTAAATACTCGCAAATATTTATTATTTTCCTATTTTTATCACTACTATTAATAAATCTTAATTAAGTCAAATTCTTTAGATAGTGCAAAATATTGTGTTTCACTCTTGTGAAATAATTTTCTTCATTTCTGATACTAAAAGTGAGACCTTCGAGAAACTTTTTTCCTTGATCTGCAATTTCCGTAAAATCTGGCGCTTCCTCAGCATCGCACAACGAAAATTTCAAAATAAAAGTCCCCAAGAGAAGACCATAGACTGAAAATTTCTTCCAGTGTTGTTTCAYTTCTTCAAACGTGAAAATTTCGCTCGAATTACAATGAAATTCTTGTAACGTTTGACTCAAAACCTTGTAATAAATCTGAAGCAATTCTTCGATTTTTTCGTGAATTTTGGTGTCCACACAAGTGTAAACAAAAAATGATAAATCCAWGATGGGGGAAGCTAAAGCCGAACATTGCCAGTCGATAAAACAACAATGTTTCGGTTTATTTGTGTTTTCCTGAAATTTCAAAAATCGGATTAGAGAATTGAAAAAATTTGGGTTACCTCAAGTTTGAATAAAAAATTGTTAGTCCAACAATCGCCATGTAAAATGACGTGAAAATCGGGCTCTTYTTCGAATAAATRAGCAAAAATGTCTTTAARCTTGTCTTTGGTTAAGTRAAAGTGTTTTATTTCGTCACAATTGGGCCCAACATCAGAATTTTTGGCCTCTTCCAAGAAATTCAAAATCGTGTCATCAATCCCATTCCTCAAAATGTGATAAGGAAACACATTCACATTATTTTCGACAAGTTTTTCAAAAATTTCACGTTGTTTGTGCCTCAAAGCTAGCGAAAAAGCGTGCCATTTTGCAAAATTTCCCAAAACCAATTCGACATAATCAAAATCCATTGGCACTTTCCTATCCCAAAGGACATATCCTTTGGGTTTTAAATTTTCCAAAATGATCATTTCGACATTCTCCTCTTCTTTCGTTGCAAAACATTTGGGGACAAAATCGAGTAAATCCACCCCTGATTCTTTACCAAAATTGACAAAAGTTGGTACCACTTGCTCATAAACGTGAATTTCTCGTTGGAAAAATAATTTGATTGTGATTTGTTTACGCAATTGGACACTTTGAGACGAAGTTTTGATCACCAAGTCCAGGATTTGACTCGCACCTCTTTTGGTTTTCCCAGTAAGGGAGAGGAAAATGACTTTTCCTAAATAACCATCAGCTTTTCCAGCCTTGCCTTGGATTCGTATCGTAAATCGTGGAAATTTTCATTTTTCAGTGCCAATTTAAGCCACTCACGAACTTGTTTTTCACTCATTTCACACAAGAATAAGTGTGATATCTGAGAGTAAATGAATTATCATAAAAAAATTAGATAATGATCTCTTGTAACAAATTATCCTTATCTCTCTACTCAATTAAAGTTTCACTCAAGATATTAAGTAGTTTTTGCAAAAATTATTGATTTAACACTAAAGATAAGCTGTCTTGACATTAACGATATGGAAAATTTTCAGATTTTTAGATTTTATCTCTGAAATAATTGTCTGTGTTTTATCATTCCTTATCTCGMCTATTATTTGAAGATTTGTCTGAGTTTTTTTTCCACTTTGTGAAAAAATGTCAAGTCTAATGGAAAGTGAAATTCAGGAGTGGCTAGCAACAGCCTTAAAACCCCAAAATTTGTCCAATTTCTCCGTAAAACTTGTGGGAAATTCAGGCAAAGGCGATGGTTACATGGGTGATATRATTTTCGTGCAAGTCTCAACTCCTCACCAAAAACTCAATCTAGTGTTAAAATGCAGCAAAAAGTGCAAAACTCCTCAACAACACCAAAGTTTCGCCCGAATTTTCCTCCACGAAATGTTCCTCTACGAAACTCTCRTACCAACTTTCATCAACTTCCAAAAAGAGAAAAATTTGGGGGAAATCTTCGACAGTGTGGCCAACTGTTACGGCAGTTACAAGAGCGAAACCACTCASGTGATAGTTCTTGAAGATTTGAAGAAATTGGGGTACGAAATGTGGCCAGTGAAGAAGCCCCTGAATCGGGCACATATCGAGTGTGTTGTGCGAGAGTATGGGAAATTTCATGCGACTTCAGTGGCCCTGAAAACGCTAAAACCTGAAAAGTTTCAAGAGATTTTAACCTCGTTGGGGCGCACTTTAAGTGACATTTTTGGGTCGCCTACATTGCAAAGTATTGTCACAAAATGTGTGGGAAAAGGGATTGGGCTACTTGAGGGTCAAATGGAGGAGAAAATCCTCACAAAATTGAGGCTTTTGAGGGCGCAAATCCCAGACTTAGTTCAGGAATTTGAGGAAAAAGCACCCCTGAAAGTGGTGTGTCATGGCGATTGTTGGAACAATAATTTCATGTACAAATATAACGTACGTCTTTTTGGTGTTTTTTCAGTTATTTTCATTTTTTTTTCAGGATGATTTTCATGTCCCGTCAAAAGTCGCCATAATCGACTGGCAGATTGCCTCATACGGAACACCAATCTCCGA